CATTATTATGGTATAGTATTTAAATATATGCCTGAGAAACACATAATATTGGTCCTTTAACTTGGATTTTTTGTTTCCTTTTTTGTTTGCCCTTTAGTGTCGGATGAACATTTAGAAAAACAGAAAAAAGTGACACATAAAGTGCACCTGGCATTATGAAACGCAAAGACAACGTGACATAGTTTAATGCAAAGTAAGCAACTTTCTCAGTGTTTGAAAACAAATTAATGTTGAACCAATTTCAATTACTTTCAAGCTGTTTCTGTGATGCCACAAGTACTAAATAAATAACAAAAAGAAATTAGCATTTTCGTCACATGTTAAAACTATGGCTTTAATGGTTTTTTAAGTAACGGAGAAGCTGCAATACTTTTTACTCTTATGTCATCAAAATAAACTCTTTAGCCCTCAAGATAATACACAATAGTTGATTCCAAGTGGTCCAAATATTTAGTTTAATACCAGATATGTTCCACATTACTGCCATCCTCCTCCTCTGCATGTAGCTGGCATGGAAGTAGACTCTTAGTCTTGGTTAATATTACTCATGAGCTTGTAAAATTGTTTCTTTGTCTTACAGCTTCGTGAAAAAACAATAATCTCTCAGGAAGAACTCCCAGATCTCATAATATTTAGAGCAACATGATTAAATAAAGAAGCAGTAACCTACCCTGGGATATGAATAGAATAGTGCGATCACTTTCCCAGACAGRGCCATGCCACAGAGACTCGTGAACCTAAACTGAACACATGGCGAAGCTGAGGCTCTCCGCACATGCGACAACACTCGGCACTCTCATAAACTGTCTGCATTATGGAATCATGCTTATAGTAAAGCGGCACATGATTTATGCTAACTGAATGTCACTATCAATGTATACAGGCTGGAGCCTTATGATACGATGCAGTCTTTTTAATAATAATACACTACTCTATTAACAAATGAAAGTGTCAGTGCTTTTCTTTTTTTCCCCTTAAGGGCTATTTTACCATTTTTTTCTTGATATTTAATTAAAAAAAAACTGTCCCAGAAAATGCAGAGTGCTGTAGTCTAGATAAGGTTAAGCGCCGAGGGCAGTTCTTGCACTTTTTTCTAGTTTGCAAATCATAAACACTTCAAGTGGCTGCAAAGGGAAATGTATGTTAACTGTATGAGATAATCAATGGCTGTCCAAAAGATGTATAGTTGAGCCTCTTAAGGTTATACTGCTCATCTAATCGATGTCTTAAAATGACATCCAATGTGGGGAATATGAGCTTTTTGACTGCATGATCTTCGCTAATCAATATTGTGATGCTTTATTAACCACTTTTTTTTTGCTTGCTGGTAGGTCAGTTTAAATATTGATCCAATAAAAATAAAATTAAAGGCCATGCATTTCTTGAAGGAATGCATATTGATCCCATGCTGCAAAATGACAGAGTTGAAGTCATCTTGGTCAAACCTGGAAAATAACATAATTTGCAGTTTTATGTAATATCTTGTGTGATTGCACATACTTTGTCATCGCTTGAAGAATGTGAATCACTGTCTGTCAACCATTACCACCAGTGGTGGGCACCAGCTCACTAAAGCGCAAATCCGCTAATTGCGGACCTAAATATTTAATTTGACCTTCAGGGGTCTTACTAATTTTTATGAATCATAAGCGGATTTGCACTTTCTAAAATTAAAATGCAGTACCGCTAKTAACTAATTATCTATCATTCATCATTAAWTGAACAGCAGAACGTATGGCTGTCAATAAATCCAACCCATTCTCACTCCCAAGTCGTCACATATTGACGCGTTGGCAAGGTTCCCTCTACGTCCGATTTTGACGCGCAGGGTACCCCCGTCACGTTACTGACGAGATGGGGCGAAGTCTGTTGTCATATTTTCAGAAAGTGTATAAAATGTGCGAAAACGACCGTTCCAAAGCCTGAAATTGCCTTTGTTCACTTTAGACATCCTGTCCCTGACCGTAGTAGCTAAAATTAACCATTTTTAGAAAATGTACGGAATTCACGTCAACATGTTCTAAAGCGTAAAATGACCCAATATTCACCATGGACATCCTACCCCTGATCCCAGTCCCTAAATTTAACCATTAATCCTGATCCCTCATGTTAACCTCAGACCCCCGACCCAAAGACCCCTGGTGGCGAAACCTGGAAAATCCGCGGGCGTCAAGGACTGARGCGAGGGGGGTACCCTGCGCGTCAAAATA